GTATAGCGAAAGGTGATTCTGGTGCTATTTTTTAGTGAGTTAATCGAATTAGAGTAGCATATATAGCTTCAGCTCCTGCCTGATAGTTCACAAACCTGGCTTTATAACTCACCCTATTCTAACGCGAATCCCAGCCTCTCTTGGATGTTGTCCACAGGAGTTATCACTCCTGTGAACCTGGCCAGCAAATCCATACCACCTTATCTCCTCTCCTCCTTCTTTTCTGTTACTTTTGAACCTCCAGCCACCCTTCCCAACATTGGTAAGAACTGTCTCTAACTCTTGGTTATTTCATGCACTTAGACTGACCACAGATTTTACTACCTCTTGGCTGCCTACGTGTTTCTATGCAGTGCTTACTATGGGCGACTACTCAATGTTGTTGCTTCTCTTGGTCTTTCTCAATAGATAGCACATCTCTGCTCCTTTCTTATCACTGATCCAATTCCATTAACTCTGTAGTGTGTCTCAAAAAGAGAACAGGCAGGTAAACAGTGGATTTATTCATCTTTAGAAGTTTTATCTATATGTCACTTAACTTTTTATTTCAAATAAATGTAAAAGATCCAGGGAAAGAAAATTTCTGATGTACACTGAAGGTCAAGTGTACGTGCAAGTGGTATACTTATTAATTAACTTAAATAAGAGCATTCCCCCTCCCATAAAAAAAGCCAGCAAAACTTTGCGTGGGGAAAAAGCCGACACTTGTGCTTGTCGTAAGACATGATGCAAATCCTTCAGAAGTTGGTGCCTGTCCCATGAATACACAGGATTTTCCAAAGAGACCGTAAGTGAGAGTCTGCAATTTGTCTTTCATTTTCCTTTTTGAGATTATTTAGGATGGAGACAAGAAAACAGAATCTCAGTTAGCTGAAGTCAGTGAATCCAAACTGAATTACACAAACCAAAAGTTCAGCACCTGTTTTTCTAATCCATGGAAGAAAAGGGATCTGTCAAAGCTGGTTGATCTGCCATCTGGCACGTATTTCCTGTACCTGGCTGTAATCATGGGCTGATTTTTGCTGGCCCATTTCCAGAATCAAGTAAAGGAAACTTATGACCAGCATTTCACTTTTACCTTCTCTGCCACTCAGGATCTTTTAAACTGTACATTTTTAAAAAGCCTTTAAAGATTTCTTTTCTAGCTTTATTTTTGCTCAGCAAAAATTACAGCCAAAAAAAAGTTTTGGTTTTTTTTTTCTTTTTTTTGTGTGGAAAGTTGCTAATATTTTTAGATAAGTGACAAGACTTTTTCTGTTCCTCTTGATCTCCCTGTGATCTCATTTAGCTTTGAATCTCCTGCTTTTTCCTATTGGTTTCAATTGGGGAAAGAGGTGTCCAAGGCATGTCTGGTGATCATGTCTATGGTGACAATTACAATACTTCCATTCAGCATTCCTCCTCCGAAGTCCCACCTGATAGGTCTTCACTTCGACCTGGAGTGCTTTGCTGCTAGCAAGACTGAATAATAATGATTGAGAACACTGGAAAAAAATCTTAAACATCCCCTCGTAACTTCAAGAAAGTTTTCAAATTTTTAGTAAAAATGTTGTTCTTTTCTTCTTTGTTCTTCCCTTCCTCTTCCAAAAAAAAAAACAAACCCCACCTCTTTTTTTTGCTTTGGGTTTCTGTTAAGGGAATTAATTTTCTGAAGCAGCTGTTTCCCATGTTGTGATGGCAATATGGCAATAGCTCTTATTGCCTGCTGCATTTCTATGTTTCAGGAGGTGTTTGCAGAGGAAAAGAGGCTGAGGCTGGAAGGAGGGACTGGAGACTTGTGGCTGGAGAGCGCCCCGCACTTCGGTGCTTCCCGAGCTTAGCCCTCTCACTGCAGGCTCCAGGGCAGAGTCTTTGTGTGGCTGATAAAGCTTGAGTCCTTATAGGACCCTGCTGTGTTGCTACTTTAGAAGTGTGGTGAAAAGGAGTAACTTTGGGGAGGAAAAGGTGAAAGGAGGAGAAGAGCTGGGATGCTTTGGTTCGGTTGTGCTGGTGCAGACACCAGCACTTCCCATAACTTAGGTGAATCTCTGTTGCCACGCATCACCTCTGAAGAGGGGAACAGTGCCTCTTGGTTATGTAAAATGTCCAGAGATATCAGCGCAAGTCTTGCTTGTCTGTGGACAAAGGAGTTGCTTCCCTCACTTGCTTCTTCCCATCACTGTTTCCTAATTTAGAAAGAAAAGGCAAAATGCTGTTGCACTGAGCGTATGCTGTTGACCGAGGAAGCAAAACCTAAGCCATGCCTTATTCACCCTGAAAAAGAAAGAGCGCCTAAGTAATACAACTCATTTGGTCCAGAATGCTTCAATATCACATCTCCTCAATGTCCATTTGCTGATTTCTGAAGGCCATTCTACAGACAGCCTGAATACAACCTGCCAGAAGCATACACTCGATACTTGTAAGGTCAAATAACAAACTTGTAGTAATCACCGTTTCGTATTTGGTAAGAGATGCATTTCTGGACATCAACAGGTACTGTTTTGTTTGGGTTTTTTTTTGTTTTGTCTTTCTCAGAAACACTGTAGGAAGGAATTTATTTAAATCAAGGTTTTATCTGTATTTATTTTCTGTTCTTGGGGTTGGGTTGTATTGCTGTGAATGCTTTTAACAGTGTCTCCCTGAGGGGTCCTTAACCACTGACACCAGCCCTACCTTTTTGGGATGTGCCTGGGCTTTGGAGCAGTCATCCCTGGGAGGTCACTGTCCAGCCATGAGTCGGTGGCAGGGAAGGGAGGTGACTTTCCTGAAGTCTCTACACAAGCTTACGGCTGCATTTCTCTCACCTGCTTGTCTTTTATGAACTCACTGACCAGCAAGCTTTTCATAGTACCAAGGTCCTCAGATTCTCTCTGTCCTATGAATAACTGAAAACTGTGTTTGCGTGGCAAAAGTAATGGACACAATTTCCAAATTTCTTTTGCACAGCGGTGCTTACCTGTGTGACAGCTCCCCAGCTCGTCAAGACAACATTTGCTTTTCTTGCAAACTCACACCTCTTCCCCCTCCCCTTGCCCCTGCTTGTACAGAACAATCGAGTAAAAAAGATTTTATGCAGTTGACAAAAATTCAGGGGGTTGTCTGCACAAATATTTGAAAAGTCTTCCCTCAGGGTATTTACTTAGGGCTTATTAATCAGGGGAGTAATGGTGATTTCAAAGTCAAGCTCCAATCTCCTCGCAAAGGTGTTGTAATTCCACTATGGAAAATAAGATCCATTTTGCCCCAGTGCATGCTCATTATTTCACTCACCAAGATACTCCTTTTGTTTCAAGGCTTATGTTATGAAACAATACCCTGTAAGCTAATCGCTGCTGGAAAGAAGAAGTTTGCTTTACAGTCAATGGGTTTGATGCCTTGGGTAGTTCAAGTAAGGATCTGCCTCTGTCTTGCCTTGATTGACAAGGCCCTGTCTATAAATTTAAGCAATTAAGCAACCCAGTAGCAGATGCTGGGGAGATTCACTGAGCACAAAGCTGAGAAAGATTGCTGTGCAGGTCTCTGGCTGCTCGCTCTGACATCCTGAAGCCCCCCCTGCAATTTGAAACTACGAAAGAAGATCCAACTCCAACAGGTGAGTGTGCTTCTCTGTTTGCTCCATGTCATACTCTGGCTCGTGAATCAAGCAACAGGTTTTGCTAAAATGGTAAAAAGTAATTTGTTCTGAAGTTTGTTTCTTTTGCTCTCAAAAGTCTGCTCTTAAAAACAAGGAATTTAAGCTTTTTTTACTCTCTCGAAGCTTATACATAAACATACACTCCTGTAATCACATGTAAGGCTACAGTGTAAGCGTGGTGATGTGTATGAGGGAAACCAGGTCTAAAACTCTGATTTAGCAAATTTAAAGCATTTGGTTTAACAGGAGCCTAGAGACCCAAACATCACTCAAGGAAAAGACAGGCCAGGCTCATTTCACTTAAGTCTATCCAGCTGAGGACACAGGCCAATGAACACAAATCCGTGTGCCCCATGCAGTAGTTGACTTCTTCAAAATTAAGTGTCAGTCTGGGGTTTCTAGGTGGACACTTTCAAATGCAATGCAAGTACGTGAAGTATAAAATGGATCTTGTGGTTTAGAGCTACTTCCCAGCTTCCTTTTTTTTTGACAGAGAAAGTTTTCCAAAGAGACTGATTGCTTTCTTCACTGAAAGACAGCAAATACAGGAGGGCCCTGGCTGATGCTGGGCTGCTTAGAAGGGGTGAGGAGCTCAAACCTCCTTTGGTCACCTTGGCTATGCCCCACCTTGTCTCACCAGCTTGGCAGCCTTGGTTGGGTTTGAGCTGGCTGGTAGGGCAGTGTGTGCAGGAGGAACAACCAGCCTCTCTGGCTGCAGCCCTGAGTGTGGACCAGCACAGGGTATTGGTAATGGCAACCCCAGTAACAGTTTTGGGATGTGCTGAGATTATAGCACTTATTCAGGGATGCTTGGCTCCTAATCTAGACTAAAAGGTAACTGGGATAAATTCAGAATTAAGTGCCTGGGTCAAAATGCTGATGTTGTACACAGACCTTTCCCTGCTGAATGCATGGAGCTGCAGCCGTGCTGCTTTTCCCCCACATAGCAAAGCTGGGAATCTGCCACCTCCCACGGATGGACAGACAGAGCCCTTCCAGACTGACCTGCCAGGATCAGAACTGTCAGGGCAACCCAGATGAGACAGTAAGAAGGCATGTGCTGCAAGGTAAACTTGCATTAGGGAGATTTCAGTGGGTCTGAGGCACGGACTGGTGGCTTTATCTCTTTCAGACAAACCCCACTGCTCTGCAGGGAGAGTTTGCCCACTGCTGGTTTCTGTTACAGGCCTTTTCACTAAGGCTTTACACCTCTGTGAGTAGGTGACCCCTCCTTCGTACATCTGCCTATCTTCTCTGGGGCTGAATGAGGGTGGGGAACAGTGTGCCTGAGGGGAGGAAGGGCTGAGCCTGTGCACTTGTACTTCTTGCCTCCCAGACTGTTCTGGCTCCCCCAGCCCTCCGCTTCTAACCTTTCTGCCTCAGCATGAAGCTCCACCGTGTGATCCTGGGCGCTCTGCTTCTCGTGATGCCAGCTGGCGGCAGCAGCACACCCAAGACCTCCGCCATTGACCTGCGGACCTTCGTCGGCTGCGCTGTGCGAGAATTCACCTTCCTGGCCAAGAAGCCTGGCTGCAGGGGGCTGCGGGTGACAACGGACGCGTGCTGGGGACGCTGCGAGACCTGGGAGGTGATGTTACACCCAGGGCTGAGGGTGGCTGGCTGTCACCAACATCCCTGAGTGGTGCTTCTGCCTCACAAGAAAAGCCCTCAAAAGAAACCCACTTAACATTTAATAGCTTGCAGCTCTCTATGAAACAGGCAAGGGCTGTCTCCTGCTCCAGGATCCCTTTGCTACCAGCGTCAGCAGCATTTGCTGTCAGTTGTTCCCTCTCTCCATCCTTCCACCGCCTCCAAGGGGGATGCACATCATGTGATGATATTAATGAAGCAGTTATGTAATACTCCTATTATGCAATTTAAAAGCCTCTTACATCTTGAACACTTAAGGAAAGGAGGCCTTTATTACTTTACTAGAAAAAATTCCTTAGAGATTAAGATGGAGCTCCCAACTGATGGGTAATACATTTTATTCCAAAAAGCAAATCCCAAAGATAGTGTCTGTTTCTAATCCGGTCCCATTTTAAGTCACAGCCCTGTATAAATATGAAGTAGTTATGTTTTGGGGGCATACAGGGCTAGAAAGAAAAAGCAGAAGTACATCTACACACACTTCAGAGAAGAAGTTTCTGATGATCTTTGCCTTTCTACCGCTGGAAGGCTCAAGCGGCCAGTCCCAGTTTAATTTATTCAGGGAAGCCTCAAGTGACTCCAGATGGATTTTGTCCACATGAAGACAAGGGCTCTGTACCAGGGACCAGAGGAGGAGCCAGAGTCTGTATTTCAACTCTGACTGCCTTCTTTCAGTGCTTGGTGGGATGAGGGGAAAGGCCACTGGTGACCAGATTTCCCTGATGGGATAAAGTTCCTTCGAGGGACTTCTTGTCATGTGGTTTCCCCCTACTCCGAAGCTCCTCTGGCAGCACAGACCCTGCAGACTCTCTTACCGTACTGCAGTACCACTGGGATGTTGTTAAGCTGAATGCACCTGGTTGTAGGCTCAACAGCTTCCAGAGAGCACCACAATGTACTTGGATGGGGGGACGGGAGTCTGGGTATCTTCTTGACGAAACATTACATCTGTTCCTTTCTACACCATCATTCTCAGTTCCCAGGGCAGGCTCTTTACATAGCATAGAGGGAAAGGAAGAAAGACAGAAAGAAAGAAATTAAAATGTCTCCTGGTTTTGTTACCTTATGCTGTTTCCCACCTGTGCAAGAGAGAGGATGATGGTGGATTCCCATTCCTGTTTGTGCTGTCCCTTCTTGGAGGCTTTGGGAAATGGGTGTCCCTGTTGAGAAGAAAGTTGTTTTTCAGCAAAAGCAATGCCACTGCGACACCATGTGGGAGTGTGGCTTTCAGGGTCTTCAAGCTCCTTCCATCTCCTGATGGCTGAGTTCCCTGGCCAAGCTGTTTTTCTCATGAGGAACTGCAGGCTTCTACGCTGACTGACATGCCGAGTGCATCCCCCATGATGTACATCCTTTGGGCTTAGTGGGATGTACAGCCTAACTGAAAAGACCGGTCTGGCTGAGAAAAAGCACAACCATTTGGGACCTGGATGCACTTCTGCTCTTGGGCAGTTCCTGCACATGGAAGGGTTTCCAGCAGAACACATGTGGGTTTTTTTTTTTTGATGGAGAATCAATCTTTTGAAAGAAAGCAGCTGCTTTTGGCAAACATCCGCATTTGTTTGAAACACTAGTATTCTGCTGAAAACCAGCTTTTTGCATAGGCTTTTGTCTTCCTTCAGGCAGTTTTAATTGGGGCTTTATGCTTTAAACGAACAGAAACACGCACATACACCCACTCCCCTCAGTGACAAGGCTCCAAGAGGCAAGTGTTGAAGGATGCAACCTGAAAATTATTTCCATTGCCCCTTTCACTTGATCCGGTGTCTCCCCCATTTATGCTAAATCTCATTGTGGAAGCTGGGTCTCCAGATGTTCCTTTTGTGTCTTGCCTGAGGCCAGCATTTCTCCTTCACAGAGACCAGTGCTGGAGCCGCCTTACATCGAGTCTTACCATCGTGTTTGCACCTACAACGAGACCAAGATGATAACAGTGAAGTTGCCCAAGTGCGCTCCTGACGTGGATCCCTTCTACACGTACCCGGTGGCCATCCGCTGTGACTGTGACATCTGCTCTACTGCCACCACTGAGTGTGAGACTGCCTGAGTTCTCCTTTCCCAGGTCAGGAGAGGAGGGGCTAAATTCTCCCCTGGCTTCATACCTTTCACACAAAGGGTGTAAGTCAGTCCAGAATTTGGTCTCGCCCTCTAATGCTCCTAACCATTGACTTTTCTGGGCAGAGGAAGCTTAAATCTCCTCTCCTCATGCTGTTCAAAACATTGTTGCTGTAGAAATGTAGCACACAACCTCGCAATAGCAAATCCAGCGGTAAAAAAAAAAAAAGAAAAAAAAGGAAAAGAAAAGAAAAATAAGAAAAAAGATGCAGTTTCCCTTTCTTACAGGCTTTTCACACTATGTGACCTTTCTTCATGCACAAAGTGCACATGGACTAAACAGTCACTGGGGGGTGGAAACAGGCCACAAACGCATTATCGCCTCTGTAACAGCCTCTTTGCTCATGAAGATTTTAGCTCCTTCCCAGTAACGTAAATGCAATTAGCAGCAATTCTACCACCTCACCCTCACCATTAGTTCTTCTTACCCTGAGGTCTATCGTAATAACAGTCAAAGAAAAGGTTTTTAAGGCCAATGAAATGAAAATAAGTATCTGAATTGCTACCTTGAAATCAGGGTGAATGCATACTTAGCCCTGACTCAGCAAAGTACTTAAGCTCATGATTAAGTATTTTGCTTAATATCAGTGGACTTCTACAGTTAAGCACACATTTCAGTGATTTGCTTATTTGGAGCTATTCTATTGGAAAAAATCGTGCCTCACAAGAGACAACTCAAAAAAAAAGAAAACATTAAATCTGTAAAACCAAAAGTGCCTATCTTCCCATCTGCCTTTGTCCAGGGAAAGGAGAGGAACTGACTTCGTGTAGAATCAGCGAGACTCTGTGGAGCCCACAAAGTTCTCCTGACAATTTCCAGAGTTAGAGGTACCAAGCCAAGACACAACAATTGTGGTTTGGTTTCAGCAAGCCCCTGGCTGAGGTGGTGGGAAAGAAAGGGCTAAAGAGGGTTCCCACCTTTCTCTGTGCTGCTCAGCTCCATGGAGACCTGCTCCTCTGAGGATGCACACAGAGCTGGGGGGCAGCCAGACGTGCTCTCAGGAAAGCTGTGGAGTGGCCAGTAACGTGACTAATGTCAGTGAGAAAAGCCCAGGACAGGAAAGAGAGCAGACATGCCAAAGGATGGTTCACACCTCCTCAGACCCACTATTTACAAACCAGAGGACGCCTGGGAGCTGCTGCAACAGCCCCTGATGACCACAGCCCAGTAAGCGCCTTTGTCCTCTGGTTTCCAGCTGCAGGACAGATCCGTGTTCATCCCTCACTTCTCCCCTGAACAAAATGGGAAATTATGTGAAAGTAGGAAGATTTGCCAAGTGGGAGAGGCTCACAGGAGCTTCCAAAACAGAGACACCTTCTTAGATAGCCATTAGGAAAGAATTGCTGCTGAGAGTAATACCTGCACCTGTCTTCTCCCCAATTAAGTGTTTTGTCTTCTGGGTGCAGTTGCCTTCAATTCCAGGGATGCATATTTGAAAGTTCCCTAAGTGTCCTGTCCTCACTAAGACAGATTTAATTTAACCTGTAATTTACTAGTTGTTGTCTTTTGTGTGTGTGTGTGTGTGTTCGTGTGTCTGTGGAATTGTAAAAGCTGCACTGTAGTTGAGTAGGAAAGAGACAATTTTATGACTTTGCCTTCCGTAATGCTGAATAGAGATTGCTGTGTCAAACAGCAGCAGGAGCAGTTTTCTGCTGCTGGAAAGTTCAGCTGCCCTCTAAAAAGTCCTTGTGTTTTCTTTCAAACTGCATCACACAATCCCTCTGATCTTTTTATTGTTCTAACTGGCATCACATCTATCATGGGAAACCTGCAAATTGTTTCGTTTCCTTAATAAACCTCAAAATTGTAGTACGAAAGCAATTTAAAACAATGTGTACCTCTTTATTTATGTATAGAGACTTCTCGTGTAGAGTATGTATAAACTCCTACAAACTCTTCGCCAGAGCTGTGAACACCTGCAAAACATCTTCTCGATGACAATGTGAAGTCATTTCCTTTGCTGGATTTCTCTCACGGAGTCTGGCTGTGCTGTAGTCTCATGATTAGAAGTAGGGCTAGAAAGTGTCAAACTCTTCCTTCTGCAGTCAATGGGAAACATGGGCTGTAGCTGGATACAGTGAGACAGTAGAAACCTCAGAAAGTGTTCAGAAATAAAACACTGCAGGGTGTGAAACGGGGTTTTGATTGATGCGGTAGCAACCAGGCTGGGGGGTGGAAGAGGAAGAGTGGGAAGGATGTATTGACTGAAACCAAGCAAACGCTTCCAGGTGGCCTTTTAAGGAGGAGAGCACAAGTGAATGGAGATGCTGTGGATTGGCTCTGGGACACAAAAGTACAGCCAACATCTGAGCCCACCAACCCATTTGACTGGTGCTCATCCCCCTTCATCCAGCTCTGCTGGGTTCCCACAAGTGTGCACGTGACAGTGACTTTTGGGGAGCCAACTTTATCCCTGCTGCTGGCAATTACCAATCTGGGACTTTTCTTTTCCAGAAATTGTTACACTACTAAATCTTTCTTCTGTTAAGTTCCCACCAATTTTGATACTTTCAACCAGGTGTTTTGGCTTTCACATCTTTTATGCTGCAGCTGGGATGGTACGTCCTCAGAATTTGCAGGCAGAAGATATAGCCTCATATTTCAGAGCATGAGAAGCCCCTTCCCAGGCCACCTTCATCTCCCTAGGGGCATTTTAATGCTCTTTAAAGCCATGGATTTAAATCTCATCATCCCACATGTCCAAAGCAGTTAAACAGCTCATCTGTCTTCAGTGCAGAAGTATAAGTAAGGCAAAGAAATTTTGCTCTGTGTGTGTAAGGGGAACTTGACCTCTCTGTTGTACCTGCAAAACAGGGAGCAAGAGAGTATCTCCTTCACAAAATCTCAATGTCAAACCATTCACAGCTCTGGCACCCCAGCTTGAAATACCTGCTGCAGTGAAAGGCTTTCCACGAGAGAGGTGGCTGCATCTGCCTGCTCAGGAAGGAGAAGGTACGGATATGGAGAAGATGTGACTGTACAGCTTGGGGACTGTACTCAGCTCCTGGCTCTGCCTTAAACACGCCAGGTGAGAAGGTGCATGTCAGTGGCTTTCTTTGTGCCTAGGTTTCCCTTCTGGATATTGGGAGATTTATATTTTTTTCTCCCTGGTGTTTTTTGGAGTGTATAGGCTGTAACATCCCTTGGGATGAGTCAGATCTGTGTCCTGCACAGCACTCAGAGTCTCAGGCTTATTGTCATTCTTTCAACAATAGTCACAGTCACACAGTGCTTTGATTCTTCACAATACTTTCCTGTTATATAGTGGTTACTAAAGTCTACTGGGACTTGAAGTTCAGCTCCTCTCATTCCTGTGCTGCAGCTGGCGTGCCCAGCCAAGCAGACCAGTAGCCACTCGTGAAACTTGCTTTAGACTCATAGAATCATAGAATGGCACGGGCTGGAAGGGATCTTAGAGATCATCTAGTCCCACCTCCCTGTTTTAGTCCAATTAGGGATGTTGTTCAGGAATGGTGGGTTTTATAGTCTTAACTTGAAGACTAGACTAGCTAGTCAATGGGATTGCTTAGTCTTGAGAAACCAATAGTAACAAAAAGCTGGATAACAAAGGCAGTATCTCTTCTCTCTTTTTTTCTAATTTAGATTTTTATTTTTTTAACCAAGATCCACATCTCCACACTGAATCTCTGGAAGGCTGGACCCAGTCATACGCTTGATTCCAGTCCAGCGTTTAAGGGCTGTCTTTTCTCTTGGCCCTTTGAGCATTTCACTTTCCGAACTCTCCCTGCCCTGCTAGGTTGCAACATGCTGTCTTCTCTCTAAAACTCTTTAAATATTCACTCAAGGAAAGAAAAAAAGTCCTCTTATGGTGCTGTGAAATGCCAGTTGATACCACAGACAGTAATGCCAAGAGGGCCTTATTAAAGTAAAAACAAAGAAGTTCTATGTGAAAGAACAACCAACCAACCACCTTAATATTGGTGGAAAATGGGAGACCAAGTATCTCCAGGTATATGTGATTAGCATCTGGGAAAATGAACACAGCAACACACCTTCTCAAAATTATGCTGTCAAAATACTTAGTAATACATTTATTTTGTTAAAATAAACTATGTACAATAAACGATAGTAATACGCAGTTACAATATACAATAATTACATGTTTAAAAGAGGATAAGCAAAAGAATACAGAATCATGTGCTGTAAATAGGAAACTAATACTGTTTACATGATTTTTAAACTATGCAAAACGTAATTGCTGGAAAACTGTGATGTCCTTGGTTTGGAATTTTATTGCTTTGACATGAATTCAGAAGATTTGTTTAATCTTTGAAAGAATATATACCACTGAAAAGTAAGACGTAATCTTTTAGTACTCATCCTTTGGTTTTACCAGTGCCGTACTTGAGTGATATTGCACACAGCAACTTCGGTGAGAAAAAGCTCAGTTCCTCATGTGAAGTAAAAGTAAATAATTGTTAAAAGTAAATAATTTGTTAAGAACTGACTGATGATGTTAGTTCCTGATTTGTGCTGAGGTCATTACATCTGCAGTTAGATTAATTGTTGCACTGTTAAAGTATCGCTGAAGTACTACATAAAAAGAAAGGAAAGGATTTGTCCTGTCTTTGTGTTCTCAGGGGAGCAGAGAATCCCTTTGCAGCAAAATGCTGCAAAATTTGCCAAGTACATCAACATCATAACAGGTTAAACTGGATTCAGTGATCCTTGCACTCGAGGACAGTCCAGGTCCATCTCTCTGCAGCCTTCTTTGAAGCCCTCCCAGTCTCGAGGTGCTGCTGAGCCCCAGGTACTTTGGTGTGACTCCGTGGAGGCGTCTCCGAGCCCTTTTGCCAGGCTCGGGACGCTCTTGCTGGGGCAGCACGGACACCACGCTGTGCCTTGCTCTGTAGCAACCCGGGCTCACCACCTCGCATCACTTCTGCTCATGGACGAAGAAGATTTTGCCA